CTGCAAGTGGGAGAAAAATCGTGAGTAGCGTTACAGGTAACATCCTGTATGTATATTCTTATTTTGAAGAGCTTCAAAAATTTTCATACAGCCAATTCCGACTCCACTGTGAATCGAAACTTGTGAACCACACTTTTACACTATTATTAAACACTATTATAACACAATTACTAAAAACCGTAGTCACAATTTGTTTCATTACCTTTCTCTTAGTTCATCATTTAAAAATACGTTTAGCCATGAAATCGGACAGTATCTTTTAATTAACCTTGCATTATTAAGTTAATTAAGCTATTAAGGATTAAGAATCGACGAACCAAATCACAATTGATTTTGGATCCTCGCGCGGCGAATTTGAAACGCTTCAGACAATCTTTGTTTATCTGCATTATTTTATGAGACAAAAATAGTAGATATTTTATTTTTAAAATTGCGAATTTTTTCAAAGAACTCAAAGCAATATTTCTTCATTTCATTTCAAAATTATTTTTTATATGAGAAACGTTACAGAGCTCGATTTTACTGGTTTTTTAATAGTGTCGTTTGCAAAACTTAATTACAAGCGAACGCATATAAAAACAAATATAATAAGTTTTTACAAATTCTTGGGAGTAAGATTGCAAGACCTCTGTAGCATCAATTTCTTTTCAAAGAAAGCACGATAAAGTATTACTTTCTTAGCTAAAATTCTTGGAACTACAAAGTAGCATCTTCAAATACCAAAATTGCTGTCTACTGTTCTCTTCTGCACAAAATAATGCAGGATGAACAAGGATCATCCAGATCTCCATTTCGCAGTACGAGTCCAATTTTGAGTTCGCCGCTATACTCGATCTCTAAAAACCATAAACTTTGGGGCGACATCTCTCCATCTAAAGAGTAAACCATGTAGTCTCACCTTGAGGCCGGTACGTGGTCACGAGTATCACAAATCCACGCTGGAACGCGAACTTGTCGCGCAAGAACGAACGAGTAGCCAGGGGCCCGCGGTATCGAGGAGAACTGAACCAAGAAAGAAGAGTCGCAGGTGGTGACCAAGGGTTCTCCGTGGTGGTTACTTCCCACCCCCCCTAGGGTTCCCAACAAACCACCACCTGTCGTCCAGTTGAAGCCCCTCTAGCTCGGCGAAGCACTAAACGTGGACCAATGGGCGATGGAATCCTAGGCGCAGACGTTCGCGGACGTTGCTATCTAGCCTCGTGGTGGCCATGTTGTTTTTTGCACCGTCGACACGGGACTTCGTAATCGTATCAATTATTTAGATTTCAACGACTGTGAAAACGAGCAAGAGGGAGAGGAATACAATGTGAACGTTAAGAAGGTCTCGAACACGGTTATTACAGAAATTTTACCGCGTGTTTTGACGACGTGAGCGTGAGGGACAATTTTACGAGGGACGTAGGGGGACGAGACAATATTACGGTCCCTCTTCGTGTTTGACTTATATGAGATCATAGAGTAAATAAATTTCAAGAACTTATTTCATGGTATTATAAAATTGCTATATTGTTTGAAGAGAAATTTGTAGTGGAAAAAGGTAGAAATCTTTTTTGGTAATTTTAATGATTTTGTAATTCATTTTATTGAATTGATTGCATTTGAATTGAAAATATTTTTTTAAGGAGATACATGAATTGTATGGTGTGTTGTTTTATATAGCATGTTTATAATGAAATGCAACGAAGGGTTAAATTAGAAAAATTAGAAATATTTTTTTAAGAACATACAAGAATTGTATGGCGTATTGTTTTACATAGCATATTTGCAGGAAAATGCGACGAAAGGTTAAATAAAAAAAATGTAGTAGTCGAGCTTCTGGTTGGATACTTATTAAGTTAACTACAATTAATTTAGTTTTAAAAATCCCTCGCAAGATGTGTAATTACCTCTGTACCTACCAGTCAATGTGAACATAATTACTAATTATAAATAAATAAATAAATAATAAAACATAAATTCGTATAAACATTCATTCTTTATCTTAATAAGACTCAATACAGATTTCAGAAAAAACATCTTGATAGATTTTGTAATTTAAGGAAGAAAGCTTGCAAACTACCTTTCTTCTTTAAACCACAAAAACTTGTAATTTTAGTATTAAGATCAAAAAATTATAAATTATGAAGAAAAGAGTAAATCTAAATGAAGAAAAATTACATGTTTATTCAATAAAAAAATTAATAATTTGTCAAAGTCAAGTGCATCGAAATAAAGCTTTGGATCGTTATCATGTAACGATTTTTGACAGTATGAATATTTGTGGACTTTGGATTTGGGAATGTATGATTTTGACGAGTCAGAAATGTGAGAATATAGGGATTTGGAGTGTTACGAGCTGGAGAGGTACACCCACGTGACTGGGGACTATATAGGTTATGGTAATTGTTAACTGAGGACTGTTAGTTGATCTGAGTGCTAAAGGATTTTGAATGTGGAGACTAGCTGACATATGGTTAACGCCGGATGATCCAGGCTCTGGTAAACTAGCCGGTGTGTGGCTAACGCTGGGTATCAGAGGAAGGTCAAGACGTGGAGCTAGCCGATGTATGGCTAACGCCGGGTGCTCTAGGAAATGATATGTGAACTAGTCGACGTATAGCTAACGCCGGGTATCACAGAAAATGTTAGTAGTAGGTCTTATAACTAATCTTGTAACTAATCTTGTAGAATTTGACGGTATACCTCGAGCGGCTAAGATACACCAATAGGTGTTTTTTTTTATTTTCCTCGATTTAATTTACAATTTGTTTAATATAAGCATTTGGTAAATTGCTTTAGTGGAGCTTGAATAAGAACTTGTAGGTATATGCCCAGTGGTCTATACCTTTGAGTTTGTTTCAGACAATGCTAAGTGTTAGCCATAAGATCGCTCGGGTGTCTTCTATGAAGTCTTCTGATGATTTCCAGAGAGCATAAGCATTGAGCTAGCTGATTAGGGGTGGGTTTTTTAGACTGGATTATAATGAGGCAATATTTAAATATGAAATGAACAATTATATATATTTTCCACAACCGGATTCCACAAGTGTTAAGTATACTTGTCGGTTCAGGTTGATTCTAATTTATAAGAGTTAAAAAATACTTTAATTAGTTTAATTAATTAAGAATTAGTTAAGAATTATATTATATTTAATTAGTTAAGAATTTAATTAGTTTCAAGCAAGAATCTTATCCTCCTCAGTTTTAATGAAAAACGAGCAAATGGGAACCCAAGGGAAACCGAAATAACGTATAACAGCAGACTTACGTACTGTACGGTTAACACACTCGATAGGGACTCTAACCCAATCTCGTTTGAAGATTTCTTTAGACTTGACGTTAGTGACTGGATTAGAACTTGTACAGAGATTTATATATATACGTTCGCTATACGTTCGAGAATTAACTGTGTCGTAAAGAGGTTCCTCTTTACACAACGTTAAAGAATTTACAGGGTCCGACATGTCTTGTCCACAACCCTTTTTATACCTGAAAAATGGGCGGAAGGAAAATGGTGCTGGAAGCGATGGGAACAAATCAACAGGAAGTTCTTGTGAGACGAAAATTTCTTTCATCTTCAGTATTGAAATAATATAATTAAAAAGTACACCGAATGCTATAGTGTACATTTAGTGTATATTCCACTACTAATTTTGAAAATACACCTGACGTGATGTGAATTGTATGAATTACCATGAAAGCTTAACGTAATCACAAATATTTCATTTGCAAGATTTTCTGAACCAATGTAATTAATAAAATATGATCTCGGTCATCTTCAGTTTTATCATTCACCACAAATCTATGATATAAGCATGTTATATATTAATAGAAAAAATACAGATAAACTCGATGCACAAACTCTAACGAAGTTCATTTCAAGAAGGAGTTAAATAATAATAACTTCACTGCTACTTCGATTTCTTTGTGATTATTTGAATAGTGCCAAGGTTGTTCGAGGTAAACTCAATAATCATGTACGAATATACATCTATAAGATAGCCTAGATATCTGTTCTTCTTAATACTTCTTGCCAGTTTTCTGAGGAGTAGTAATTCATAACAGCTATTACATAAGGCAAACCATCCTATTCTTCATAGGAAAAATATGTCAGGGAGTATAAGTTTTTACTGCATATATTTTCATTGATATATTGAAAATTGGAGATTTATTTAATTGAAAAATTGAGAAATTGAAAAGTTGAAAAATTGAAAAATTGAAAAATTGAAAAATTGAAAAATTGAAAAATTGAAAAATTGAAAAATTGAAAAATTGAAAAATTGAAAAATTGAAAAATTGAAAAATTGAAAAATTGAAAAATTGAAAAATTGAAAAATTGAAAAATTGAAAAATTGAAAAATTGAAAAATTGAAAAATTGAAAAATTGAAAAATTGAAAAATTGAAAAATTGAAAAATTGAAAAATTGAAAAATTGAAAAATTGAAAAATTGAAAAATTGAAAAATTGAAAAATTGAAAAATTGAAAAATTGAAAAATTGAAAAATTGAAAAATTGAAAAATTGAAAAATTGAAAAATTGAAAAATTGAAAAATTGAAAAATTGAAAAATTGAAAAATTGAAAAATTGAAAAATTGAAAAATTGAAAAATTGAAAAATTGAAAAATTGAAAAATTGAAAAATTGAAAAATTGAAAAATTGAAAAATTGAAAAATTGAAAAATTGAAAAATTGAAAAATTGAAAAATTGAAAAATTGAAAAATTGAAAAATTGAAAAATTGAAAAATTGAAAAATTGAAAAATTGAAAAATTGAAAAATTGAAAAATTGAAAAATTGAAAAATTGAAAAATTGAAAAATTGAAAAATTGAAAAATTGAAAAATTGAAAAATTGAAAAATTGAAAAATTGAAAAATTGAAAAATTGAAAAATTGAAAAATTGAAAAATTGAAAAATTGAAAAATTGAAAAATTGAAAAATTGAAAAATTGAAAAATTGAAAAATTGAAAAATTGAAAAATTGAAAAATTGAAAAATTGAAAAATTGAAAAATTGAAAAATTGAAAAATTGAAAAATTGAAAAATTGACAAATTGACAAATTGACAAATTGAAAAATTGAAAAATTGAAAAATCGAGAAATTGAAAAATTGAGAAATTGAAAAATTGAGAAATTGAAAAGTTGCAAAATTGCAAAATTGCAAAATTGCAAAATTACAAAATTGTATACATTTCAGTGCACATAATAAAAGTAAAACTCGTTAATGAAAATGAATAAATTAGTGAACTTTTGATTTTTAGAATACTTTAATAATCATAAAAGTAAGAGCAATCTAAAGAGGAAATTTACTTCAATACTAATAAAAAATTTGTAATAAAAATAATTTAAATACTTAGCGATACTTAAACGATACTTATGAATTAAATAATGTATTTTATACCAATTTTAATTCAACACAAGAATATAAGTGTGAAAATCAGTCTTTGATCAATCATTGTGTTTAAATTGTTATAGCGTTTCTTATTGTTTCAAGAAGAAGTATAAAATTTACAGACATAGTCTTTATACACACTTTTTTCAATTAAGAAGGAAAAGAAGAAATTCATAAAAATTGTTTTTCTATGTTAATGAATTGCTTTTAATAATATAGAAAAACTTCCCTTTGTGTAATTTGGCGGTAAGGCAAAATAAAATTTATTAAAATTACATTTCTATGTTTATAAATTGTTTAAAAAAATGAACGAGGAATACAGAAATAGACTTAAATTACTTGTAATTTAATATAATAAGAAAAAAGGTATTACATAGTTACAGAAGTATTATAATATTGTAAAGCACATTGCAAGTATAATATTTGTAATATAATTATAATATAGTTGTAATATAATTTTTGTAATATATTCCCATGTAACAGAATACATGTCTATTACATTGCAATATGTTTACATTTTGACAGAAATAAAATAGTGTTACAAAAATTATTTAGTTCGAACTAAATAACTTTCTACAGGAATCTATTGAAAACAGATGTAGAAACACATTGATCGAATTTATACGTAAATATGACAATTTAAATAGGACAGTTATAATTTATTGAATCATCTACGTTCTTTATACACTGCACATTGACGTAAAAAGAGGGCTGCAAAATAAATGGCTGAAGCATCTATACGAACTTGCTTACTTCATTATTTAACTTAATAGTTCTTATGTTGGTCAACGTCACAAATAACAACATTTTTTACATGAGTAAATTCAGTTTTTTAAACATTTTTTAAAATCATGTATTTAAGGAGTTCTCAATAAAATGTATTGGACCAGTGGAGAGTATGTGACAAACAGTTTTCATTTATTATAAATAGTAAATAAATGAAAATATATATGCTCAGCAAATCTATTTATCAGAATTATTTATAAGATTCAAGAGAAATGTGATGATCCATTCTGAATGTATGTAGAAATGCAAAGGGTTAATATTCATGGCTCACAGTAGTTAATCTGAATACCTCCAATTGTGTAACTAAACAAATTCCTAATAACGTATATAACAAATTCGTTTGAAAATTTAATGGTCACCCATATATGATCAAAGAATTAAAATTGCTTCAATGATTAATTTCAAGTTACTCAAAAAACAAGAACCCCAACAAAAATCATTAGTCTTTTTCTTCCGTTCACCAGACAACTGTTGACTCTGAAACCATCAAATAGTTGTCTTGTGTTAACGACAGCGAATACAGCGTTCTTCTTTAATAGATTTTAAATACAGAATTCATTCTACAATCTTGAAAATATCATTAATTATCTCTTCATTCCAAGCATCGTCGTTGAAATTTCACGAAGTATTTTGATAGACAAAATGGCGTACGAACGGAGTTTAGTGTTTCTGATTGCGGGATTGATGATGATGTTTTCTTGCTTTGGATTTATTGCTGAACGCTCAGGTACTGTATCACATAAAATATATTGAATAAATATTTAGTTAACGATGTCATTGTTCACTGTTTAAAGACTTCAATCAATACTTTATTTGATCTGTCATTTTTAACGAACTAAGGTCATACAAGTTAATGTATTCATTAATAAATATATTTAATTTACAACTAATAAATATTTAGTTAACGATGATATTGATCTCTGAAATATTGAATAAAATATTTACAAGGTTACTATTTTAAGATTTCAATCAAAAGCTAGTTTATTCTGTCATTCTTAATAAAATAAAGGAAATCGTTGTCATATAAGTGAACGTACTTGTTAATAAATACATTTAATGTGCACCTAATAAATATTTACAACAGTATTAATCTGCGAAAGAGTGAAAATAAAATATTCTTAACTTCATTGTTTCAAAATTTTAAGCAATACATCCCTTAACTTATTATTTTTAATAAAATAAAAGAAACTAGTTAATCATATATGTGAATTTACGCGTTAATAAATACCTTCATTTTGCATTAAATAAATAGTTTGCATTAAATATTTAGATCTATGAAATAATAAATAAAATACTTTCAATTTCACTGTTTCAAAATTTATATCAATAGATCATTTGATTTATTACATTTAATAAGATAAAAGCAACTATTGCTCACATATGTATGTGAAAGTACTCCTTAATGAATACATTAATATTGCATTAAATAAATATTTAGTTAACGGCCTCATTACTTTGTGAAATAATAAATGAAATGTTTTTAATTTCACTGTTTCAAAATTTTGATCAATAGATCATTTGGTATATTATATTTAATAAAATAAAATCAACTATGACTCTCATATGTGAATCTAAACGCTAATAAATACATTAATATTGTTCTATGAAATAGTAAATAAAATACTTTCAATCTCACTGTTTAACATTTCAATCAATCGATCGTACGATCCATCACGTTCAATGAAACGAAAGAAACTATTGTTTATATAAATGATAACAGTCGATAATAACTAACATTTACTTTAAGGTGAAGTGGGATAAGTGCAGACTGGGTTTTGTAAAGTTGGTACATAAAATATTTACAAGGTTACTATTTTAAGATTTCAATCAAAAGCTAGTTTATTCTGTCATTCTTAATAAAATAAAGGAAATCGTTGTCATATAAGTGAACGTACTTGTTAATAAATACATTTAATGTGCACCTAATAAATATTTACAACAGTATTAATCTGCGAAAGAGTGAAAATAAAATATTCTTAACTTCATTGTTTCAAAATTTTAAGCAATACATCCCTTAACTTATTATTTTTAATAAAATAAAAGAAACTAGTTAATCATATATGTGAATTTACGCGTTAATAAATACCTTCATTTTGCATTAAATAAATAGTTTGCATTAAATATTTAGATCTATGAAATAATAAATAAAATACTTTCAATTTCACTGTTTCAAAATTTATATCAATAGATCATTTGATTTATTACATTTAATAAGATAAAAGCAACTATTGCTCACATATGTATGTGAAAGTACTCCTTAATGAATACATTAATATTGCATTAAATAAATATTTAGTTAACGGCCTCATTACTTTGTGAAATAATAAATGAAATGTTTTTAATTTCACTGTTTCAAAATTTTGATCAATAGATCATTTGGTATATTATATTTAATAAAATAAAATCAACTATGACTCTCATATGTGAATCTAAACGCTAATAAATACATTAATATTGTTCTATGAAATAGTAAATAAAATACTTTCAATCTCACTGTTTAACATTTCAATCAATCGATCGTACGATCCATCACGTTCAATGAAACGAAAGAAACTATTGTTTATATAAATGATAACAGTCGATAATAACTAACATTTACTTTAAGGTGAAGTGGGATAAGTGCAGACTGGGTTTTGTAAAGTTGGTACTTAAATGTAAGTATTTTCAGTCTGCTATGTAAATACTTAACGCTGTCGATACCGAACGCTTTGCACAATTACTACTATTTAATTAATATTAACTAGGACCTTAATTTTCCTTGTACATTTTGATTTTGATAGGAAATTGTTTAAAATGTCAACTACTCTGCACTTTCCCCGAAAATGGGGTAAGAGCGTAATTTGAAGTTAAATACTTTGAAACTTTATTTCATGTGCAATGGGGCAAGAGCAGAATTATTAACAAATCTGCTATAAAATGCTTTTTACTGCATTATGCAAGAACTCTATACTGCAAACAAATACTCTTAGCTGAAATATAAAAGGGGATATAGTGAAACAAAACAAGGAAACAAACATACTAAATGGAGAAATTTCGCTCATATTGTAATAAAAATAGCCTGTATACGCACTTGCCCCGTTTACGAACTTACCTCACTTCACCTTGTACTTAATTTTCACATAAGGATGATACATGAATATAAAAGATCGTTGTTTAAAAATTCCAGAAAACGTTTCAGCCACGTGGAACACCGCGTCTTCAACGGAAACAGAGGGTAAGCTTGGTCACACTGGTGACATGAAAACGGAAGTGACTGGTATCGACAAGGCATTGCCAGTCTCAGACGCGAAGACGTCGACGGAAACCGCCGAACAAACAAGTCCTGATGCTGCTCGTGAAAGGAAATTCGATTTCATCTTAGAGAATATCGAAAACGAGACGAATTTCGAGAAGATCGTCAGAGGCGCTAGAACGAATTCTGCTAAGGATGATTCGGTGACTGACAGCGCCACTTCCGCTCCGCGGAATGTCGTTTTGGTTATTGCCGAGACTGGTCAAGATGGAGACGACTTTTGGAAGGATTTTAGATACTCGCACTCGTTTCCGGTTGACGGATTATTGCAGGTTTCATTTTTTATTAATTATTCTATTTCTATTGTATATTATTCGAATGTATTAAAACGAGTTAATATATTTCTTTTTATAATTGTAAGTTCAATACAAAGTATAATTGTAAAATTTTATATTGTCCATTATTTTATAATGTTCATATACTTATTGAAACTTATAATAATCTCAGGCTTGTAATAATGAAGTTAATTACTGTTTTTCTTTTTCTAATTATTGATATAATTATTAATATCAGTTGTTTTTTAGTAAAAATTTTGAACTTTGAGTTAAAATTTTTGATAATAAAATAATAGTCATTTGTTTATTATTATTAACTAGTTACTATTTATTACTTATTTTTGTCATTACTTATGTAACTGAAACATTTTTCGCAGCAGTGAAAAATAATTTAATTATTTAATATTTGTTAAAAAATTGAGAATTAAAGAAAAAGTATCATCTCACTATTTCTTAATACATGAAGACTAAATTTAATTCTAATGTGTAATAAAAATAATTAATGGACGTTTTCTTTAGAATTGCAACGGTGGTGACTTAAAAACTGCAAGATTTTCCTTGGAAAGTGCATTAATTTCCGGAAGCAAGGATAAGAAATGTGACTGCGAACGCTTCCTGGGTTCGAATATTGCAGCACTGTTGCTCTGGGCTCGAGACGTTAAAGGAATGACGATAGGTTGTATTCTATTATAATATCATATTCCTATCAGCGTTTTAAAAGCTCTCTTATGGCTGTATTAAAAAGATACGAGATATCTTCATAACCTTCTAACGTACAATATCGAGTTAACTTGAACAGCGTTGTACAACGGGTGGGCAAATTCATCAAACGAAAATTTCCATATTTTATAGTTATAATCGGTGAAATAAAATACATGATTTTATTGTAAGATTATAATACATTATTTTTACAAATATATTTTGAAATGTAAAGTTGTAATATTTAAAAATTCCAAAGTCCTGAAATTCCAAATTTTCGAAAGTCCAAAATTTAAAAATCTTAAAGATTTAATATTCAGAAACTCCTAAACTTCAATTTCCAAAAACTTCAAAATCTCAGTGTTCTGGAGTTTCAAAATTCCACAACTCTGAAATTGCAAAATTGCAAAATTTCAAAATTCTGAAATTCCATTTTCAAAACTTCAAATTTATAAAACTGCAAAATTTCAAAATTTCAAACGTCTAAAATTTCAAAATCCCAAAGTTCTAATATTCAAAAGTTCCAAGGTCCTAAAATTCTAAAATTCCAAAGTTCTAATATTCCAAAAATCCACATTTCTGAAATGCCAAAATTTCATAGTGCTGAAATTCTAAAAATTCCACATTTCTGAAATTCCAAAGTTCCGTGATTCCCAATTTCCCAAATCTCACACTTTTGAAGCTGCAAAATTAAAAAATCCCAAAACTACTTCTATAATCCCAAAATTCCAAAATTGTGAAAGTCCAAAATTTCAAAGCTCTTAAATCTCAACGTTCTGAATGAATCTTGTTTCGATCTAAAAAACAAAATATGTTAACCTAAATTGCCATAAGAAAATCACAGGTCAAGTGTTTAATCCATAAGTTTCCTTTTAGCCTCATTGTCCAACACGAATTTCACGATTCCACCGTTGTTCGAGTACGAAGAGTCAGTCGCTATACAAAGAGAACTGGACGATCCTGACAAAAACAACATGAAACTAGAAATTCGCAAGATTAAACCAGAAATTCACGGTAACTGGCACACTATAGATCTAGGGAAGCCATTTCATCGTGCGTCTCCATTGATTCCGCCATTTAATAACCGAGAAGACGGTAAGTTCTCTTCTACAGATGAAACATGTATCTATAAAATCCGAACGAAGAAACAATATTTTTATTACTATGGCGGTTCGGTAGAATACTCGTACTTAATGGGATTTTGGGATTGTGATTAGAAAAGTGCACCAGATGCACAAATATCTGCAAATGGGATTAAAAGCGACTTATTATGGATCAGTGGACTCATTAAAGCCTTAGGGGGTGGTAGCTGGAGTGATTCTGAACAACTTTTTCCTTTACCAAAATGCTGATTAAAGCTTAGTTTTTGAATTATTATTGAAAAACACTGACCAATGAGAACGCGTATAGACCAGTCGCGCGACAGCTTCGAATATGACGGCCGATCGTCGTCGTGAACAAATGTGTCGATACTGTTTTAAGTACAAATTATACAATGAAAGCGTGAAAGTAAAATTCATGTTCAGAAGTACAAAGTCCAAATTTGTGAATCTAATGAAACGCTTTCGATTCTAAAAAAATTTTAATTTCTACTGTGTTTCATTTCTATGGTGCTGAACGTATTCAGAGGGTTCTTCGATATGTTTCAAGTGTTTGTAAACTGTTGGTAGATGTTTAGGTTCCCTCAATGGAGATAAGAATGGAGGTAACGCTACGCACTCGACAGTTTCGTTCTTTTCCATCGAGATATGAGTTCTAAACGAGAATTATCAATCGAAAAACGTTCCAGTATTCTGACCTTCGCAGAAAAAAATCGATTTTAGCTACTGTTGCAGATACTTGAATAACTTTCATGCAACGCGAATGCATATTTCGCTTGTGTCCGGATACTTATGGACGGTAGTATATATTGTAACTAAACGTCTGTTGATGTACATGCTTGTGAAGGGTTGAAAAAACGTTATTAATGGTGTATTAATGTAGGAGAAGCATATATTGAAGACTACTAAATCAATGTGTAAATATCTTCAATAAATTTAATTATATTACTTCCGTCCCGAAACTTATTGGACAAATGTACTCTAGAACCCAGGAATTGGGTTGCGATGAACCCAGAATAGAAGCTACTCGGTCTTAGCTTAAAATATCTGCAAATAAGAATAATAATGACAATAACAACTGCATCATACGATTACCGATTTGTTTTTGGCATACTTGGTGTGCGTGACTCGTGCCATTCCTATTGTCGAAATTATGTGAATTTATGTGTCCATTTTTCTCTTCTGACCAATTGGGGCTGTAGTCCTTCAAACACCTAGGTTGGCCTCCTATCTAGTTTATATACGATATATGTCACTGATTATGAAAGTAGTCCAAGAGAAGAATTAAATTATTTCCCATTACACACCCTTACGTCACTGTAACTTGAAATTATCGTCTCGAAATTGTAAAAATGAAACTTTCAGATTTAATTTCAAAAGAAACGTTCTGTCATCGAACAAGAGTCAAATCATTTTATGATGATGGACTATTTTGTGTAGTATTTTTAAGAATAAATTGCTAAGAAAGATTCTATTAAATACGTATTTATATTAACAATAAAATTGCAGACTACATTGAATGTGTATTATACTAGATGCAGGCGAAACAATGTGGAACGTGTTCGACATGTTCTCCAAAATAAGACTCGCTTTGTTCCGCTCTTTACTGGACTCTCTTGGAGGAAACACGGAAAATGTAGAGAATTCGGGTCCTTATAGTTCGTATATTCGGCGGTCTACCTTGGCAAACATAATTGCAAAATTGAAGGCTGTTGAAAATGAGAAAGGCTTTATATTAACTGTTACTGTGCCTGCGAGTGAACTTAATTCCGTGGTGGAACTCTTACAGAAAGAAGTACGTGTAGTAATTTAGAAAAACAATTTAATATCTCTTAAGCCACTCTTAAGCTATCTCTTAGTTATAATAATATAAGTATACACTATAGTAGATTTATTAATAATTGAAGGTATCTCAAGAAACGCTTTTGGTGGTGACTGGAGTTTGCTCCGAGGGCATTAAACTAGTGCCATTCTTCGCCCAAGGACCAGCAGCCAAGATGATTCGTGAGACAAGGATAATGTGGGATCTACCTATGACCATTGGACACGCCATTGCGAGTGGTTGTCAGGGTTCAGGTTGCAGATCGCGACGACATGACATTTCTTCACTTCCAATGACCAAATTGAACAACGTCCCGCATAATGTGGCATTTTTTAAGAGGACATTGCGAGATGTTGAGAAAAAAACGGTAAACAGAGCTGAATAGTTATTTACAGTCTTGTTTGATATAACTAGAATATGATTACTAACATATTAGAGGTAACGATAGAATGACAGAAAATGGTAATATAGTGGAAATTTTTTAATTTTTATCATTTTAGAAATTTAGAAATTTGATGATTTGGGGATTGGAGATTTGGACGTTCAAAAGTTTGGTACTTTTGGGATTTGGAAAATTGGGGAATCGGGGAGTTGGGAAGTTGGAGAATTGGAGAGTTGAGGAGTTGGGTTTCGAGAAATTTGACAATTTGGAAATTTAGAAATTTTTTCTAATTTTTCAAAATTTAGAAATTTAATGATTCGTGGGTTAGAGATTTAAACATTTGAAAGTTTAGAAATTTAGAAGTTTGGTACTTTTGGGTTTTGTGAAATTAGGGAATTGGGAAGTTGAGGAGTTGGAGAGTTGGAGAATTGGAGAATTGGAGAGTTGAAGAATTGGAAAATTGGAGAGTTGAGGAGTTGATGAGTTGGGTCTCGAGAAATTTGACAATTTGGAAATTTAGAAATTTTTTCTAATTTTTCAAAATTTAGAAATTTAATGATTCGTGGGTTAGAGATTTAAACATTTGAAAGTTTAGAAATTTAGAAGTTTGGTACTTTTGGGTTTTGTGAAATTAGGGAATTGGGAAGTTGAGGAGTTGGAGAGTTGGAGAATTGGAGAGTTGGGGAGTTGAAGAGTTGGGCTTCGAGAAATTTGACAATTTGGAAATTTAAAAATTTTGTCTGATTTTCAAAATTTTGAAATTTGGTGTTTTGGGGATTGCAGATTTGGAATGGGGGAGTTGGAAAGTTAGGAAGTTGAGGAGTTATGCCTTGAGAAATTGAGAAATTTAGAAATTTAGAAATGTCGAAATCTGGAAAATCAGAAACTTACTTTGGTGTAAAAAGTATTCGAGATTCGTGGAAATTTCAATTAGAATTACATATTACTGTTCATTTCGAAGAAAACAAAGTCGATTTTTGAAACAGTTCGCACCTGCTATTTCTTTTTATAACAATAACATCTTATTTTAATAATTTAAAACTATGCAATGGTATTTAATTTCAAGAAATGAAACGTATTACAGGAAATAGCAATTTAATGACTTTTTTCTAATAATACATTAATAAATATTGGTTTACTACGATAATGATATAAACAATTAAGATTTACATTTATTTACCTACTAAAATTACTAAAATATTTAAGCTTCTTAAAAAGTTTGATCACGTATACAATATTCTAAATTAGGAAGTTTATACATTCTCTTACACAGTATAATCCGATGTCCTTCTTTTCGATTACATCGTTTCAAGGTTATTTTACCTATCACCAGTTAAAACTGTCATAACATTCGGCTTAAACAAGAGTGGATATATGAAATTATGTTCGGAGAGTTAAATTGAAAAAATTAATAAGTTATGCTGTTAGATTTTGATTATATTTGGTTATACATTAAATAGATTAACAACAAATATTACATGTTTAAAAGGCCACTTTCTTAAAAAGAAATTAAAACTTATTTAATTATAATTTAAATCTAATTGAGTTTAAATTAAATTGAATATTAATTTAATTCCATTTAATTAAATTGAATAGTCATTTAATTCAAGTTTAATTCAAATTGAATATTAATTTAATACAATTTAATTAAATTAAATATTCATTTAATTCAAGTTTAATTCAAATGTTAATTTAAAGCAAATTAATTAAATTGAACATTGAATATTAATTTAATTGAATTTAATTTAATTTAAATGTAATGCAGTTTGAACTATGATTTGTCATTAAATCATGATTACATAAATTAAATAATTTATTACTCGTAATTTAAAAATATTTTATTATTTATAATTTTTGCTTTAAAAATATTCTGTAATTCATAGCTTACAATTCATGAATTCTTTTTTCAACTTCATTTCATTATAATTAAATATTATTCAAATGCAAGTACCATTCATAAGAAATATAAAGATTCATTTCAGCAATAATAAATTTGCTATATTTATATATTTTATTGCAAGTAATATTGAATATTACATTTTCACATTATAATAAATGCTTATAGTAGCCATAAGTTACGAAATATTATTAAACGAAGGATAAATGATTATAGAGAACATTTTGTAACAGCAGGAATCGAATTTCCTGTACATGATAGTTTCAAACTATCCAGAAATACTTGGTATACTCCACTTCCAAGTATAAATAGCATTCTTCAATAGTGACCTAGACATTGAACCTGCTAAAGAATATTCTACGTCAGTCACATGAAAAATTTATAGTTCAAATTGATGCTTATGGCTTGTAGTTTCATTTGATAACTAACGTACCGTTAAGTATTTACTCTTTCCACTTGAAGCTACTTCTGCTGATAGCGACTATAAAACTTATCTAGTTGAAAATATTTTTTTTTATTAAGCATTTGATGTATTGTTATATGAGACTTATTTTGCTGTGCAATCGAATATATACAATACTGTTATAATTATGAGAGTTGCTAGACCAATATGTTTATTAAAAATTGAGAAGTAGATTGATTTGATTGTGATAACTAGAAATAAGTGGTCTTTTAATTTTTTGAATTATTAATGTGGAAGAATTGATAATTGATAATGTAAGGGTGTAGTAATTTGGGAAAATGGGAATTTGGAAAGCTGGGAAATTGGGAAATTAAGAATTTGAGAAATTGGGAATTTGAGAAATTGGGAATTTGAGAAATTGAGAAATTGGGAAATTGGGAAATTGGGAAATGAGGAATTTGGAAAATTGGGAAAACGGGAGCTGAGGAATTTGGGAATTTGAGAGATTCAGAAATTGGAAATTTGGGAAATGGAGAAATTTGGAATTTGTGAAATTGGGAAATGAGGAATTTAGGAAATTGGAAAATTGGAATATGAGGAATATGGGAAATTGGGAAATGAGGAATTTGGGAATTTGAGAGATTTAGAAATTGGAAATTTGCGAAATGGAAAAATTAGGAATTTGTGAAATTGGGAAATGAGAAATTTGGGAAATAAGGAATTTGGGAAATTAGGAATTTGGGAATTTGAGAGATTCAGAAATTGGAAATTTGGGAAATGGAGAAATTGTTAATTTGAGAAATTTGGAATTTGTGAAATTGGGAAATGAGAAATTTGGGAGATTGGGAAATTGGGAAATGAGGAATTTGGAAAATTTGGAATTTGAGAATTTGAAAGATTCAGAAATTGGAAATTTGCGAAATGGAGAAATTGGGAATTTGTGAAATTGGGAAATGAGGAATTTGGGAAATTTGGAAATTGGGAAATGAGGAATTTGGGAAATTAGGAATTTGAGAATGTGAGAGATTCAGAAATTGGAAATTTGGGAATTTTGAAATTTGTTAATTTGGGAATTTCAGAATATAGGAATTTGGTAACTTTGGAATTTGGAAATTTTAGAACTTAGGAATTTGAGAATTTGAAAGTTTAGAAGTTCTGAAACTTCAAAATTTGATAATTAAAAAATTTGGTAATTTGTGAAGTAGAGAATACGGAAATATGAATATTTCACGTTATCGAAATTCTTTAATTTAAACTTTTAAATTTTGATATTGGAAATTTTGAAATTTGAAAATTTGATAGTCGGAAAACATGAAAACTATGAATGACTTTAATCATTAACTTTAATCCAATTTATGAATTCAAAAGTTCATAAATATAACCATTTCAATTATTCAAAATCCCAAATTTGAACAATTAAATTTAAAAAGTAAAAAATTCAACATTACACTATTTAACAAATTTGAAAATATCATATAGAAGTACAAATTTCACATTTCTCCGGAAAAGCATCGATTAGGTATATATCGACATCTCACTGATGACACGAATTTTTCATCGCCGAATTTATGCTTTCGACATGACATGAATATGACAACATGAAATTAACCGTGACCTTTGGAGGTATAGAATGAATTAAATGATATATTGACATAAGTTGCAGGTATGCAGGAATCGATATATACCACTATGTAAAGGCTTTTTAAATCCGTATGTGTTATTCCAAAATGATCCCTCGATCTTTGATCAAGTAATATAATCTATCAAATTGTTTCATTCATTTTCTTTTCCCATTCAAATTCGTTATTCCTTTTATTTATTTTTAAAACACGTCAAAACAAGCAATAAACCATAATAAGTAAAAGATACAATAAATGTTATTATCTCAAGACATAATTATATCAAAAACTAAATGTGAGAATGAACAATTTTTATCTTCTGTGTTCATATTTACAACTATGGCTTTTTAATCGAAATACAAAAATCTTAATTGCATTTTTAAAATTGGTGTACGGAGCATATGTATTACTGTCAATCGCAATAAGCACGTTTAGTATTATTAGTGTTATACTATTTTTTAGTATTATAGTCATTGTAGAACGTTTCTTCTAAATCTTTCAAAATGTTAAATATAAAATTTATATTTTATAATGTTAAAATAATTGAAGAAATAGTAGTAAATAATATTTGACACATTAACCGAATAATGAATTAATTTAAAGAACTTTTTAGTGTACTTTAATTTTCTTTTTACTGAGTGTTTCATATAATGTAAATATATCTCGTAAAACTCATATCAACATTCATATTTAAATGTTTGGTGAGTATTTTGAGGCACAAATACATCTAAATGTCCGAGTGAACATTATTTACATTTTTGTTAATAACCTATATATAACCAGTTAACTGTGGCGATCTTTTTGCAAAGCGTGCACCAGTGTGTGTCGTGATAATCAAGCGATGACGAGCTCTCAAGAATTTATGAATCCATCTCAAATCATTTACACTTTTTATTTGTTTATTTCATTTCGTGTTGACCTCTAAACATTTTAAACATATTACAATTTACGAATATAATTTAGTTTTCGCCAAAATTACAATTTAAATATCAAATTGTAACAAAATTTTACGCATGACGGATATAGTCGTCATGACACAAAATTCTGCCATATCTCCATGACGGATATAGTCGTCAAACACACTTAACTGGTTAATATACTTTCGAATACATGGAATTTCATTTTATTTATGCATTAAAGAGTTAATTAGATTTAAATATAAAGTATTCAAACAAACCATAATGATATTTTAACATATTTACAGAACAACGACAGCAAACCAGATGTTTCAGTTTCTAAGGTGAGTTACGCGAACAAATAATCAATTTCTGGGCGTATTACTTTGTTATATCGAACAAATTGCAGAAAGAAAATTGCCGCTTTCACCAATGACTCATTCACAAACTCTCGTATTAGTTTACTTTTTTCTATACACGATGAACAATAATAAACTTGTATTTGTACTTACATAATTTTTCTAACGAAAGGCATACACCATATTTTTTTTCGTTAAATCAAAAATTTGTTCTTCGAAACGTTTTGCTCAAATTCTGAAATAAATATAATTTTACTGATAAGTAAAATAAGTAATTTTTACTGATTATAAAATGACGAACTGTCTTTTGTTTAGGAACACGAGGTCAAGAAAGTTGCAGCTTTGAATTCAAAGGTAACCATTACATACATGTGTGACTAACCTTCACTTTTCATTTAAATATTTATTAAAAGAAAAGTAGTTAAGGAACAGTTATGACAATATGAAGTAGCTAAAAGATGATAGAAAGTATAAAGAAATTACAGCTAATTTTCTGTTGTTTATTATTAAGTTGCAACCTAACCTACAAATCGAAGTAGAAGCTCATTCGTGTAACAAACTTTGCCAAACTTTATTTTACTTAGCTTCTCTTTTACTTTAGATTTCAATTACAATTTTACTGTAAGTAAATAAGAATCATTGATCAATTAGATATAATAAATTGCATAAATTGCTACTATAACAACATTCAAATTAAAATAATTACTATTTTAAATAAATTTAAGTTAATTCAAACAGCTACTTTTGGTAGAAACAAACTTCTATTGAACTTCATTTGTTTCTTTTTCTTTTACCACTAAACTAAACTAAAATCACCAAAGCAGTAAAAGGTTTTACAAGTTTTACAAAGTTTTATAAGTTTCTTATTTCAAATTACAACATTTGTTAAGGTGGTTTTCTTTCTATATTAATTTTTATTAAACTAAACGTGTATATAAATTTATGTTTTATTATTTATTTATTTTCCAACTTTTTTAATTTCAAAATACATATTGTACGTTTATTATAGTTTTAGTGTTAAAATATGTGGCGTTTATGGAAGGAAAGTTTCCTCCATTTTACTTTAGCAGATTCGCATCAATGCGAACTTTAAAGAAAATGAGGACGGTTCTCTCGCCGAGAACTGCTGAGCTTTTTCCGATTCTCAGGAAAGTGAAATGTTATTTGCACCTATTCGATTGCAGGAGGAAGCAGTAGAAGATAAGGATTCATTTTCGAAACTCAAAGCAAAGAATTCGGCGCCAAATTTGACGAAAGCAGAGATGTTCACCACGATTTTTGGCTCGTTCGTTTCGATATTCACTGCATTCGCCCTGACTTCTTAAAAAACACTTCTGACCTCGATTTCGTGATCGATAATTCTGATTTATGGTGTTCGACTACTTCCGGTGCGATGTAAAATTTTTTCGGGCGGAACGTTCTCAATTTCGAATAATTTGTATAAATCCTTTCCTTTTCGACGTTATGTTTTATTAAATTTTCTAGTGAAATAATAATTTGTCGTTTGATTTCTGTGTTATTTTGTAATAACTTTTGGTAGCTTTGATATCATATTTTATATAGAACTAAAATGGAGAATGTTTAAACATTTAACATTTAATTTAAATTTGGATATGTATTAGATAAACAATTGTTATTTGAATCGGATTGGTTGGGAATGTGAGAATTACAGGAGAAAGAAAAATATGTTAGACAAGTGTCATTTTGTACTTGAAACGATGAATATAAATATTTTTTATATTCTGCTTTTATTTATTGTAAATTATCGGAGTTTATAACAGAAATCAATAAATTTAATAACGAAACTAATTTTTTAGTAAGCATTCAAGTTGTAATTTTGGAAGAATGAAACAGTAATGTACAAAAATTTAATATAATTAAATAAAGAACGTTTGAAACTAATTAATTAATATAAAAAGTTAAGAGAAGCTTGGTCACGAGGATATTATAAAAAATTGGCAAAACTTATTTATTTTGATAAAACAAAAGAGTTTATACTATCTACTACAGTTTAGTATGTGATAGGAAAATGTTCCGCCATATTGGTCTAAAGCAGATGTGATCAAATTGGCGGTAAAATTCAAACATACTTGTAACAAAATGAATTTTTAGAAAAAAAACAAGAAAGCAAATACTTTTTCGATTTAACATAAAGTATTAAAATTTATTCTGCTAAAGTATCAATTTTTTTTATTCATTATAATTGATTTTTCATGTAATATGTTTTTCTGTTTATCTTTCTTCAGTATGCAAATATTTTTCAAGTCATTTTTCTGAAAATTATTTTGTGATAAATGTAAATATTATTTTTAAATTTTATGTTTCAGTTCATTTTAATTTCTGCTAATATTAATAGTAATATTTTCATCTATTAGTATGCTCAACTAAAATTGATAATTTAACAGATTAAATTTTGGCGTTTCATGTTAAATCAATAAAAGTATTTATTTTGTTACTTCGTTTTAAAATAAATACATTATAATTGTATTCTATTTATTATAAAACAAATGGATATTGAATTTCGGTGATTTTTTTGGTTTTCATGCCTTTTGTATGCAGTAATGATTTATGAGCGATTATCTTTCTTAAATGTAAAAAGAAACAAAATGGAGCAACTTCATTTTGAAGAATATAGCACAGACAAACGAGGAAATGCGTTGAATTGTGATTTGATGTGGAACGGGGTGTAACGATGAATCAGTGTTATGCATAATCCATTTAATACGTCTATTAAAAATATTAATACACTCAAAAATATTTTTAATAACGAAAATTTATCGAGAAATCTATAAATACCTTATAAAGTTAAGAAAGAAAACAATAAAATGTATATATCAAACAACTTTTGAAGATACAAATATCTTACACAATTAAAGAAGAAAAGTAACAAAATGTGAATTCCACAAAATTTGTAAAATAGCATTAAAAATATTCTTTGATAATATTTCATTAAAATATTCTTTGAAAATATTTCATTAAAATATTTTATTTCTCTTAAGTTTTGATTTTAAATTTAAAATAACTTTTTTCTACATAATTTGTTTAAAAAAGAAGTAATTATCATTCTTTTCAATTTTGTTATGTTTAACACGGTATTAAAATTTTTAAATGCTAAATTTGGTACAAACAGATTATGTTATAAATTATGTTTTTAATTTTTTCTTACAATATAATTATAATTTTTCTTCTTTTTCAGTAATATAATTATCGCCGAATTATTACAATTTTTTATTAGACACTAATTTTAAATCATTAAAACAGTTAGCGTGTTACAATATTAACATGTCGAAATTCATTGACAAAGCGTCAAATTTTTTCGGGAAAAACAAAAAGTGCGACTTGTGATTTCGTACGATTACAAAATCACAATATCTTTGCAATCATGTAATTTTATACTCGCATGAATTCCTTTCGTCATATCATTCTGAATCTGTCGCAATCTTTTATTTCCGCGAAAATAAACATAAGACGAGAAATGAGTAATAGTATATGGTAATACTGTTTTATAAAAACATCGAAATAATGACAGCAGCTAATTTTTCGACTTCAAAAGAATATTAACAAATTAAGCATCAATTAAATAAAAAATTTCGAATTCGGAAAGAAGCAATCATACGCACTTACGATCATACATATTTACGATCATACATACTTTGCTGTTAATAGAAAAATAATCAATAAGTTGATCTGATTTTAAAGAAATAATTGAATAAACTGGTCAGATTTTTATTTCACAAAAAACAGATATTTTCACTGAAATTCTTTATGCAATTTCAAATCATAGTCTACTGCAAAAAATATGAAGAGATTTTACTTTTTAGCAATTATGCTGATTTTAAAGAATGTGATATTATTATATTAGGGTGCATTTGTTATATGCCTTGTTGTATTATATTTTATTACAAATCAGAGCACATGTATTATTGTGAAGCTGGTCATACTAACATCTTTTCTTTAATGAATTATATATGTATATGGAGAAATATTCGCAAAACATATTTGAGGAAAAAAATAAACTGCAAACAGAACAAAATATACTTGAGGAAAAGATCATTATTATTGTAATTTGCAGTATAGTATTTCGTGTAAATGTCATTTTCCTTCGTTCTGAAGTTGACTTCAGTTTAAAATTAATTTATGCTAAGAATATAGGGATATACGGATCTAGGGATACGGGGATCTCTGAGTATATGGGGATATGAAAATATGGGAATTTAGGTACATATTCAAATCTACGGATATGAGGATGTACATAGGTGTACTGAAATGTAGAGATGAGGTGACTTAGAAATGTGTGGATTTAAGGACACCGATAGCTAGTTACAGAGAGGTCTAGAGATCTACGGATTTTGAGAGTTATAGGGTTCTAGAATCAATGATTCTAAGAATTCAGGTTTTAAGATATCTAGGTTTCTAGGAATCGTTGGTTCTAAGGATCTATTGTTCTAGAGACCTATGTTTCTAGGTATTTAGGTTTCCAGAGATCTAATATTCTAGGTTACTAGAATTCTAGGGATATACGTTTCTAGGTATTTACGTTTCTAGGGAACTATGCTTCCAAAGACATACTAGGTATCTAGAAATTGGGAATTTGGGATCGTATGTCTCTAGAATTTTTCAGATCTAGAGTTCTAGTGACCTATGATTCTAGTAATCTAATGCTGCAAGGATCTAGAGCCCTAAAGATCTGATATATTAAACATCTAAGGTTCTAAAGATCCAGTGTTCTAAGGATCTAACAATCTAATATTTCAAAGATTTAGGATTATAAGTATATGTAAATATGGAGATACAGATATATGTGGATTTAGGAATACAGGGTTCACTAATTTAGAAATGTACTGCCCAAAAATATTTTTGTATCCAGAAATACAAAAATCTGAAAATATAGGAATTTAACTATACTAGGTATAGTTAATTTAGGATTTAGGTATCCGGAGATAAAGGAAGCATTTTGGCGTTACAAGAATAAATGAATAAAAATAAAGGAAAATTGTGGCCGACAATGGAAAGCATTGGCAACCGGTGAATTTTAGAAACTACTGAAATCAAAGAATTATGTAATGTAAGAGCAGAAAGTATTGCAGCCGCGTAAGGTGCATCATTTTTTGCCCTGATAATCATCAAAGTGCTTTCATTTCGAAATCGGCTACACCACCGTGTTACGTATACACGAATTCGTCTACGTTGCGAAGTTAATTAGCGAACTATTTTTACTACCTTTGACTGGTAACGTTATGTGTCCAAAATGAATCACTGCACTATACATTCCACTATAATGGAATTAGGTTACTATGAATTTTAATGATGTCTGTTATTAGATTCGATCTTTATCTAATTCTTTTGTGGATATA